CCCCCCCTCCCCGGCCCCCCCCCCCCCCCCCAAAAAAAAAACTTCACACGATCTCGGTAACAATGCACATAATGACTTTTTTCCTTCGGGGGTCGTGTTTACGCGCAGCTGCGAACTGTATCCGTCTCATCGAGTGGGGATTGATGATGAAGCTGAGAGAGAGAGAAACAGGAAGAGAGCCGTCTGGACTTAAAACTGACAAGTCAGCAGAAAAAAACTGACAACTCCCCGGTCATCACGCAAGTCTGCGAGCGAGAAAGAAAAAAAGAAAAAAAATACACGTGCCGTCTTCGCTTCATTCCGTGTGGTCCGCTTTGATCGATGACTTTTGTGAAATATTGATGGCAGGTCACAAGCGATCGTGTGAGCACTTGTGACCCGCCATCATTCAAGAACCCTTCCGGACGAAGCTTAGTAAGAATTCAAGAACCCTTCCGGACGAAGCTTAGTAAGAATTCAAGAACCCTTCCGGACGAAGCGAAGTAAGAATCGCGTGGGACCGCGCACGTCAGGAGAACACGGCGAGGGAGTGAGTCCGTTTCGAAACTGACTCGGGGGTGTCACCGGGGTGTCACCGTCGCGTGTGACGGTATTCATGAGCGAGTCGTCAATGGGGACGCCTTCGGGCGACGGCAGAGAAAGACAAAAACGAGGACAAGAATAAGGGCGTCCACGATAATAGACACCTTGAGGGATGTCGGCCCTAAAGGGCACGGGAATGTCGGCCCCAAAGGGCGGGGAGTGCTTCATATCTTCGTGACACGACAACGATTACAAGCTCTTACAAGCTCTTTGAGGCCAGTCAGCTCAACGAGAATTTTTTGTTTTATAAAGAACAATTCCTGGAAGTCATTTCATTAACTCATTCTTCATAAACTTTTTTGAGATTTTATCAGATGTTCATTTGTCAAGAGTTGCAAGGCGACCCCCCAGGATTCCCACCCTGTTCCGGAAGTGGGGCGCGTTCGGCTCTCGGGTTCTCACTTTAATTCCGAGGAAATCATGCCGGTTAGCCATTGGGGGAAAGCGATTACTGCTTCGCGCCCACTCGAGTGCCTGGGGGAAGGGGGGGGGGGGGGGGGGAAACGCTAAATAAATCATCTGGCGTCGTGAATTTTTTGGCTTTTTTCGATTGTTATCTGTGAGAAAGTGGAGTGAGGTCGGGCATCGCGTGGCTTTGTTTTCATCTTTCCGCTGGATTTACGTCTTTGGTTTTTTTTTTGGGGGGGGGGGGGTGGCCGGGGGGGGGGCGATTGGGAGATGGATGGTCGGGAGTGTTCGCGGATGAGGAACTTGTCACGTGAGGGACAGAGATGTCTTTTTTCTTCTGGTTCGTGCAAGGTCGGAATGCGAGGGGGAAAAAGTTATCTGGGTGATATTCCTCGAAACGCCTTGAAATTCGTTGAAATGCCGGAGATCTGTCGTCTTTGTTTAGGATGGAGTCTATTGCGAGACTGGGAAACGAGTTTTCCGCACCTCTCTCCCTCAGATAATTAGCAGATCGGGCAGAGATGAGGAGTCGATTAAGATTCCAAGCCCTTGTTTAATCCCGAGGCCACGGCGGATTCCCCTTCATTTAGATGCAGCGGCGACCCCGCATACCCGCGCATCGGGGGATTTCGCGGCTCCTGGCAAAAGCCCCTATCCTCTTTCTTTTTTTTTTTTTTTTTTTTTTTTAGGGTGTGCGAAGGGTGTAGAGACTTTACACGGGAAATTCTCCGGTGTTTACACGATTGAAGTGCGTCTCGGTCCCGCTTTTGCGAGGCAGTGTTGCATACAAATATTGTCGGCGCGGATCATTGCCCTTCGCCCCAATCAGAAGTGAATAATGAACTGTCGATCTTCCCTTTTTTTTTACGATAATTGTCACACGGAGCCCCAATTTGTTATGCCTCTTTAATGACGCAAAAAATGACAGGAGTATGTTTTTAAATGTAAAATATATTTGTTTTAAGACATGTGGTAAAAGTCACCATCGAATTGAAGTATTGCTGTCGTACGCAGCGGTAAAAACAATTAAAGCATATTTTTCGTCCTCTTCTACGTAAGTACAGTTCCTTTTTTTTTTGGCTGCACGCAGCTGCCATAACCGTTATGTTTCGTGAAAAAATCTTTATTTATAATCGCCCCCGAGGCCGTTAATAATTTCGTTAGAATGCCAGTAATTTTCCATCTGCAAGTCAATAATTTGGTCCCGCCGGTCCGGCCAGGGTTATGGACTTCCCCGGTTACGCCCCCGGTCATCCTCCCGGTCACGCCTCGGTTACGGCATGTATATACACCCGATCGCGTTCGCAAGGGGGTCTTATAACTCGCAGTTCCCCCGGTCAACAACCGGCGACGAAACAGGTTTCAGCGACGTCTGGAGGGCCGCAATTCCGGCGGCTCCTTTCATTCCAGTCTGTAGATTCTGATCTGGCCGGAAAATGATTTAAGTCGCATGCTGAGATGTGAGTTACGATTTGACAAACCCGAGTCGATATTCTCCAGATCTTCTCGTGTATTTGCTTTGAGCAGTCTACTATTATATATACCATTACTTATACCATTGTATATACTTGTACATATACCATCTCATCTAAATTTAAGTTATCGTTGATTTATGGTATGTATCAATTCTTGGGAAGATTTCTTATTCGCCGGTCGTAATTTGAAATGCGATTCGCCCACGCTCTTCAGCGACACCGATCGCATCTGACGCTTGCGAATTTTTTTCCGCAGATAATCGGCGATGGACGGCGGGAAATCAGGCACGGGCGGGGGGTCGAAGAGCGGGTCGAAGACGAATCTGAACGAGTCGACGGTGCCGCTGCTGGAGGAGGGGGGGAAGGTGGAGGACGAGAAGGAGAGCATCGAGCTGAAGGAGAAGGACCCCGAGGTATGCAATGTATGTTCCATGCGTTTTTGTTTGGGGAAATTTTGTTTACCCGTAGAGAGTTGCTTTCGTTCTGGACTCTGTTGTTTCCGCGTTTCCGCTCGTGACGTCGCGATGCGTTTCGGTTCCCCGGCCGGTCGTCCGGAAGCGGGTCGTGTAAACGCCGGTTTGTTTGTCGCGAGTGCAGGGCGGAGATTCCAAGGAGGAGAACGAGGAAGGGGGGAAGGGGAAGAAGAAGAAGAAGAAGGACAAGGAGAAGAAGGAAAAGAAGGAGAAGGATGAGAAGTGCAAGAGATATCGGTTCACGAAGCCGAACATCGTGAACAGCCTCACCATCGGTCTCAACATGCTGGATCGGGACGACCGCAAGATCAACGATGCCGTCAACGTAAGCCAGATGATCCTCTCTCCCATCTGTGGGGAATGTCGTCGCGGGATTGCGGTCTTGGGGGGGGGGGGATCGATAATGAAGTACCCCATGCCCGGAGGGGAGAGAGGAAATTGGAGCCAAAAGGGGAAAAGGGGTTGAGGCTCTTCAGTTCCAGCTGCTCCAGTTTATGGTTACGGATTATGCCCCCTCGCCGGGCGAATCCCTCGGGGGCGAAAACACTCCTGTCTGTCACTCTGCCCGTCCGAGAACATTCCAGACGCTTCCCTAACGCGTCTGTCTGTCTGAAATCCGATCTCTCCCCTCTGAGACTCCTTTTCGCGGGTGCTTGGGACTGGCACGATCGAATGACCGTGAAATATTTTCGTAGTCGGGTGGACGAAATAAAGGGTTTGGAACGGTTAGGTGAGCTTCGAGGACGTGTTGGGGGAGCCGGACGCCTCGCACGGCCTGGGGGCCATGTGGAAGCTGGTCTACATCACCTTCAACTTCACGAAGCGCTGGATCTATACCATCTTGGGGGCGCTGCTGGGGTTCCCGCTGGCTCTCATCTGGGGGGTCGTCTTCGCCATCGTCTGCTTCCTGCACATCTGGATCATCTCGCCCGTGCTCAGGCTCTTGGACGTCTTCTTTAACATCGTTCGCAAGGCGAGTTTTCTTTGTTGGTTGGGCTGGGGCGTGCGACGCGGTTTTTTTTTTGAGATGGTGTGCGGTGATGAGGGAAAGATGGGGGCTGGTTTAAAAGTGAATTATGGCCGGCGATGGGTGTGGTGAGGAAATGATTAAGAAGCTGGAGGGGGAACTGGGCCGTCGGCAGAAAATAAGTCCATGTTAAGTGTAGGTTTGATTCGAGGGTACAACCTTTTTTTCGTTAGTATTCTCGAGATTTATGTCTGAGGGAAGCTGTCTATTTACGTATGTCTTGCGATACGAGGAAAACTGGTCTATCTAGTCTACAATCTATCCTCAAGGTGGTCTCCGCTCTTTCCTTTTAGAGCTTGGGAAAACAATTTTTTGCAATTTTTATTTTCCTTTCGGCCATTGAATTATGAAGACTAAAAACCAGTTGCACTAATACGAGTTTTTCGTGTAATTTTCACTCTTGCTGAGAATATTTGCGTAATGCTGCATTGTATTCCCCTCGAGCTTATCACCTTGCAATGCAGGTCCGAAAAAAACTCCCATAAATAATCGTGGGACCAGTTCATGCGTGGTCGGGGGGGGTTCCGTTCCGGTCGCGTTCCGGACGTGATTGAGTTGTATGTTGTGGTTTTTCGCAATCGTCGGAATTCGTAAAGCCCTTTTGCGCAACGTATCCTCATTTCTCGTGACGCACTTGTTGGCTGCCCACGCCGAGAATTCCGATGAAATCTCACTTCTTTGAATGTCCGGCGCGGATCGGAGAGAAAATCCTGATCTCGATTTTATGACCGGGCTTTTTACGGGGTCTCCTTGGCCTGGATTCCGGGGAGAAGTCGGATGAGATCATCGCGTTATGTCACGGGTGTGTCACAGGTGTGGAAGGGAGTGATGGAGATGGCGCTGGAGCCGGTCTGCATGTCCATCGGCGGACTCTTCTCGCAGATCCGAGTCCAGAAAAACATCTCGACCACGGACCACGACTTCAAGACTTCGCGAGACTACGACGTGTGAGAAGAAAAAAAATCTTGGAAGAAAATCCTCCAAGTACAAAAAAAAAGAGAAGCTCTCTTGTAAATAGCGACTGCGTGCCTTTGTTTCATCTCAAGTGCCTCTCTCTCTCTCTTGTCTCTTTTTTGCGTGTTTTCTCCAAGTATATCCCACGAAGAGTTTTACAATAAAAGACCTTTTGATTTATAGACCCGTGGTTTTTTAAGACCCGAGAGGGGAAAGACTTTTAAAAGAACCCCCGGCGGGGAGTCCCCCCCCTCACAGTGCGGATGCACTCACGATGCTCCTCGCTCACGATGCGGCTCACGACGAGCCTCACGATGCTACTCGCGTCCGTCGACATTGGCCATCGCCAGCGGCGGGAGCAAGAAGGGCGAAGTATCGTGTTGGAATTATATGTATTATATATTTCGTTAGACGGAATGTATTAAAAATGAAGTGAAGAAGGAGATATTTTTTCTTGCATGAACAGCCTCGTTAAAAATGAAGCCGGGAATGTGGATCCGCCGGATCGAGCAATGTTGAGGAGGGTTTCATGCCGCGCTACGAGACGGATATAAAAAAAAGGAATATAAAAAAAGAAATTTTTTTTTTAAGGACGAAAGGATGCTTCTATCCCGGATCCCATTGTACGAATGAATGCGCGTAATGGGAGCCGGATTCCCTGCGGAAGACTCCGAACGAACACGAGCTATTTCTTGACGATCCTCTTGGCGTCGGTGAATGGCCTCCAGGGTTGCCAGGAGGGAGTCTGAAGGAAGCACGGATGCCAGAACTCGGAGAGAAAATGTCGAATTGAAAAAAAAAATTCAGTCGCGGATCAAAATTTCTGGTTTCTCAGGAGGGGAGCAGCGCGTTACTCAATGGGGCGTTCTGGTCTCGCAGCTTTTTTTTTTCCAGCCGATCACGTCCGCGCTTCGAGGTCGTGAGAGCGAGAGTGGATTCCAACGAAGCGAACACAAGCGTGGAGGATTAAGTACTGCGTGTTGTTATTCGAGGGATCGGGAGGTTGGAGGTCTCGCTCGGGGAGCCATCTGTCGGGGGGAATGGGAATCAACTGGGCTGGGATCTCGCGGAGTGGAAATTGGGCGGGAGGTTCGGGGACGTCTTTGACGATCGAGTGGATGTGCGCGGTTCCTCGTCCGTAGGAATTCCTGGAGAGAAAGGATAAAGTGTTCTGCTTGGGCCGGCGCGTGCCGAATTCCCCTCCCGTCTCCGAATTCCGCCCTTTTTCGTGCCTTTCTTTTCGCCCTTCCCATGCTTTCAATTGCACCTTTCCCGTGCTTTCCATTCCGCCCTTCTCGTGCCTTCCGTACCACGGAAGGTGGGTTTCCCTGAGGTTGCTCGGACGCTTGCGACGTTCCGCATACTCCGGATCCGTGGAGTTGCCGACCGGATTCTTCCAACTCACTCCGCACGAAGGAGACGACGGGGGGTTTGGGGGGGATCGACGGGGGGTCGGTTTCAGGTTCGCATATCTCTCTTATTGATGGTTTCGCGCTCTCCCCCGACGATCGGCTGAACCGGTGGATTTTGGACGGGGATCGAACCCGAAACCCACGGAAATTCGAGACTCATCCACGTCGAATTTGCTTGGAAATTCGCTGAGTGAAATTCTCGTCGAAGTTTTACTTCCTGCCCGACCCCAAACAACATGAATCAGCTCTGCTCGATCTCCGTTTGTATTTACGACTTCCGTTCTTGAACTCAGTTCGAGTCAAATTGGCTTGAAGGTCAGTGTTAATGATTTCGTAGCCGAGGATCGACAGCGTCCGCCATATGGCGAATGAACGCGGAAATAATGCGATTCCGTCCTATTTTTCTGGGTCGATTAGAAATGCCGGAAATCGACGGAAACGTTGAGCAGTCGGGCGGAAACCGCAAGGTACTAACGATCCCCCGACGGGGATGTCGCCGTGCTGTAGTGACATCTACCCAACACGCAAGAAACTATCGTGTTCAAGTAAGATCTCCTAGATGACAGGGGTATCCGACGAACCGGAGCAACAAACCAGAGTAAATTTATGCGGCATATTTCAATGTGATCATCATCTTGGTGCCATCCGACTGAAATTGGCAGTCGTTTTCCGATTTCCCGAGTATTAGTCACATGATTAAACTGGAATTTTTTTTCCTTAGATTTTCGTTATTTTATATATATTTTATATTTATATATCACCGCACTGGGAAAAAATTTATTATAAGAATTTCGCTGTTGCCAATGATTAAAGTAACCCAAGAAATCAATTAGAACGGAGGTTGACATTGAAAGTGTCGTTAAATCAAATCTTAAGGAGCTAGGCGGTGTTAGGCCTACGATGGCCAACGCAGGACGGAAACTCTGGGAAGGCTGAAGGCGAGCACGCGGAAACAACAGAGGAAACAACTGCTCCTGTCTCGAGCTGCTGAAGTGCAATGTTCAGGGAGGTGTGGACGTTTTTGAGATCACTATCGGTACTGAGTAGGCCAGATCACCTGCATCAGCCATTGGATCTGGAAGACGACCGAGATCCAATCAGAAAACGGCATGACGTCACAGAGATCTCACCCCATTGGTCGCTTGCGGGGACGAAGGGGAACTGCTCCGTCTGGCTTCAAGTCGGAGGCGAAGTCAGTGGTCCTCCATGGGGCGATGAAACGTAATGCGTGGCGTCAGTTGGATTGGCAAAGACTGGTTCACCGTACTCCATCTTACTGCGAATGAGGCCTCCAGGAAAGGTGAGAATGGAGAAACGAGACGTTTATCATAAATTATGCTAAGAATCGACTGGGGTTGAAGGGTCATCCCTTGAAAATAGAAAATTAACCGACGCAATTGGAATCTGGTGCCGTGAGCTCTCAGAACACCAGGCATTTTTTGTATGGTTTTCATTCACCATCTTGTTTTGCTTTCTCTCATCCAACCGAGAAATCGGCCGCCCCTGGCGAATAGAGGTTCCTTTTTCCAATTTCCAATTTTTTTATTACTCATGGGCCTCTTTCATCCACGACATTTTCGGAATCCCCACTCCATTGAGCTTCCACTTTATTCTCCTTTTTTTTTTCTCCCATTAAAGATAAGACAATTTTCACGTCAGTTCATGAGTTGACAACTCGCCTTTTATTCTCTGCACTGACAATGCAATAGGCACCTATTCTAGCGAAAACACTACGTGTTCCAGCGATACAAGTGTTTCAGTTCCATTGCTATTTCTAGTTTTAATCCCAGGCATACATAAGCAGTTTCAATTTCGAAAACTCTAGTCGACATTCAATAGCGATTGCACTGTGCATTTTTGATATAGGGATCATCGAGTGCGTCCCACAGAGAAGCAGATGTCAGCGAATCATCACATTGAGTACATGGGTTGCCTGTTTGAAAAGGGGAATTCTAGCAATTAGAGGTGGGTGAGTGTGCAAAAGTAGTGGCAATTTTTGGAATAACAATCTATAATACTAATGAGCGTAAGTGTCTATAATAATTTTGGTCTATGTGGAAAAGTGACATGTGTGTAGTGAGTGGTTTGGCCACATAGTCTAAAACCCTTTCTACGATCGCATGAGCCTATGTACCTGTCTCTATACCATAATACATATGCACACCATCGTAGAGCAGAATTGCAGCTACTTTTGCACCCCTCGTACATCAGTTCGAAGACAGTTGAAATTCAAAAAAATTCTTAAAAAACGGAGAAACAGAGCACAATACGAAATTCCTCCATGCCCTTAAGGATGCATTCAAGCAATTTCAATATTTTTCGTGCAATAGAAGTCATTTGCGCCCACATTAATGCCCCGCAATGCAGATGCATCTGACGTGTCCATGGCGTCATCGCCCTTTTGCACTCTGTCCGCCTTCGGTTTTGCTTCAGTGAACGTTTCATTAAGGATATCTCATCCCTTTTCCTATTCTGCTCAAGATTTTTTTCGATTGACTTTCAACATAAAGTACAAGGAATTTATTTTTCGTTCCCATTACATGTTTCTTGTATTTGTAAATTCCTGAGATATTCCTGGGAAACAACATAAGCCCAATCTTGGCGTGGAGAGCAAGACCTAAATACGTCATTAACAAAGGATTAAACAAATTGAAGCGTAAAATGGATACCAGGATGCCGAATCTCGTCATTTGCTCCGAAACCCTA